CGCTGTTTTAACATTTTTAATTTTTTTTAAAAAAATAGCTTCCTGCAGCGATTTAATAATTTTTTTAAAAAAATAAATCGCCATCAGGGTAGCGATTTATAAAAAAAAATTCTTTTTATAAATCGCTGCACTGGCAGCGATTTATACTATATAAAAAAAATTCTTTATAAATCGTTGTACTGGCAGCAATTTATATTATAAATTTTTTTTATAAATCGCTGCACTGGCAGCGATATACCTTATTTTTTTAAAAAAAATATATAATTCAAAAATAATATGAAATCCCTGCCAAGGCAGCGATTTGTAAGAAGCAAAATTTTGAAATCGCTGCATTAGGCAGCGATTTTAATTTTTTATTAATTTTTTTTTTACAAAATCGCTGGCTCAGCAACGATTTTACTTTTTCAGGTGAGGTAAGTCGCTGCACCTGCAGCGATTTTACCGTTTTGGTTAATATAAAATTTTATATACCGTTTTAAAATTTTTGTTAATATTTTGTACCTTTTAAGTTTCGGACTCTAATTTTACAGGGTCTTATTGAATATAATATTTGGATACAATGAATCATTCTTCGTCATTACATAATGTCACGATTCATAATTTAAGTGATAAATCTACGAGAAAAGTTGGATAAGGAATAGAGTTATCATGAAATGGTAGAATAAAAGATAAAATATGATTTTAAAACAACAAATAAAGATAAATTAGAAGAAAATTTTAAGATAACTACATAATCACACCAAATCAATTGTTACATAAAACGAATTTTTTATCATTACCTAACGATGAATTTAAACAATATGATACAATAAAATAAAATTTAAGTAACAATCGATACAAACATTAAATTAAAATTGACAATACAATACTAACAGCCATTCAAACATGGTGTTAATTAAGCATATGCAACTCTCTTTTTTTGTTCATAAATCCTTTTTGACTCATAGAGTATATCAGTATATACAAATCCATCATACAACCATGCAAGAAAATATGAAAAAGGACAATAATTTCATTAATTATGTGTGTGAGACATACTTATAAGATTTTCTTACTAGTACCTATGAATTAGAGGATATTCACTAACCTAAAACATTATACTATTCTATATTCTATTGTTCATGATACACAGTCTTATCTTACATTTTTGCGAGAGACTATTTCTACGACTTGAATAATAATCGCCAATCAGTTTAGTATAGTAAAAGAAAGAGAGATTATTTTTTATGATACTAACCTTTAATAGTTTTAGATTTTAATCTCTTTCTCCTTTGTAAATCTAAAAGAGGTAGCAATTATAACAACATAAACTTATGAATACATGTATATATATAGTTCTGGTCCTCTATTGAAGAAAACCCTAAACCAAATTTGACCTAATTGAAAATATTTATATCTCAACAAATAAACAATTATAATAGAAGTTCTATGGTAGCACATGAAAAGTAGTGTTCTATAACGATAACATATTCGATAAAATTCTACAAATAGAATATGAAGAAGGACGTTTGTACGCAATCTTACCCTGTCTTATGTAAGTAGAAAGTAGAAAGTAATCAAAGATACAACGTTAAAAATATAAAACCCTAACCTCATAGAGTAAAAAATTAAGAGACGTGTAAAATAAAAACAACGATAATAATTAGTGCTAGTAATTAACATAAAAAGATATTAATTAAAGTACTTATCTTGATTTACAAGGAGCTGTTTGTTTGAGGTGATAGAAAATGAGTGTGAGGAATGAAGCCTGGTCCGAGATCACTACCTTAATTATATATTTGTCTCACAAAATTAAAAAAGAGAAAAAAAATGTATATAGTAAAAATATAAGATGGACAATATTGAAAAACAAAAAAATAAAATCAAGAACCAAACACAAAAAATAGAAGGATATTGTAAAAATAAATACGATAATAATAACAATATACTCCATTCAGTATAATCTCAAAAATAAGAGTTTAGAAAACGTAAAATGTACGTAGACTTTAGTTCTAT